GAAAGCAGACATTCATCAGAGGAAGGTTACGCTCTCAATGTGGTGAGATTTTAAAGGTGTCGTGTTTTTCAAGCTCCTACCAAAGAACCAAACAATCAATTCGAATGTGTACTGTTGGCAATTGGACAGTTTGAACGAATCCATCATCCAGAAACGTCCAGAGCTTGTTCATTGTAAAGGAGTTGTGTTCCATCATGACAACACGAGATCACACACAAGTTTGATCACCTGTCAAAAATGAGTGGAGCTCGGATGGGATGTATTGCCACACCCACCACACTCGCCTGACCTTGCGCCATCAGACTTCCACCTATTTCGCTCTCTTCAAAACTCCTTGCATGGTATAACGTTCATTCAAATGAGGCTGTAAATCAGCACCTTGTTCAGTTTTTTGCAAATAAAGACAGGTCCTTCTATGAACAAGGAATTATGAAGCTCACTGAAAGATGGCAAAACATTATCGAACAAATGGGCAATATATCAGTGATTGATCTTTGTTCTTTATATAAATAAATGACCTTTGAAAAACACACAAAATACGTCATGACTTTTCCAAAGACCCAATATATAATTACTTCTGTAGAAGACTGTTTTTCTGTGTGTCCCAATCCCCACTTCCCCACTTCTGCCTCATGTGATGTGGATACCCCACCTCAGGGCTGTCACACGACCTGAGCTAGTCCAAGTACTTCCCCATATCTGAGCTCAGGTTCAGGGATGGGAATATGATCCAAACAAGGTCACAGTAGGGTTTTACTGGGATTGAAACCATCACTGGACATGTTGGTTTCCTAAGCTGCCATAAAGTATTACCACAAACTGGGTGATTTAAAATGATAGGAATTCATTCTCTCACAGTCTAGGGGCTACAAATGCTAAATCAAGGTGTCAGTGGGGCCATAATCCCTTTGAAGTCTTTGGGGAAAAACCCTTCCATGACTCCTCCTGGTTTCTGGTGGTTGCCAGCGATTGTTGGTGTTCCTTGTCTTGTAGACTCTGATCTCTGCCTTGGTCGTAACATAACCATCTTCCCTCTGTCTCTGTCCTGTGTCTTCACATGATGTTCTCTGGGTCTCTTCCTCTCTTTTTACAGGACACCAGTCATACTGGATTAAAAGCCCAACCTATTCCAGTATGGCCTCTTCTTAACTTACATCTTTAATTACTTCTACAAAGATCCTCTTTCCAAATAAGGTCACAGTCACAGGTACCATGGATAGGACCTCGACATTTTTGGGGTACACAATTAAACCCACAACTCTAGATGAGAGAGAGCTTCTCCCACTGATTGCGAGCTCACAACCATGTAAGTCTGTCCACCCACCTGAGAAGTAAGTACACAGGAGCAAGAGATGAAGAAAGACCGAGAAAAACAGGGTCCTCATGTTATTGAATTCCTAAAACGCATCTGTAGCTGAAGCCCAGTCCACCTCTTGGATTTCCCAATACCATGACCAACACAATATCTTTCTCATTTAAATGTACTTAGGTTGGGTTTCTGTCACTGACAACCAAGAGTTCTAATATCTCTACCAATGGATAATGCTATATAATGTGAATTCAAATCATTTCCCATAATCTGGGTGGGAAAGATAGCGTGGTGTGTATATGAAAAAGACTGGCCATGAGCTGATAACTGCTGAAATTAAGTGATGGCTATATAGGAACTTATTATTATACTATTATTCACTGTATCTTTACATCTGTTTGAAATTTTCCAAAATAAAAAGTTAAATCAAGTGTTAAAAAGATTTCCCCAGGCCTCATGCTTACAGTTCAGCACAAATCAAGGCAAACAAAGAAATAGAAAAAGGAGAATCACACATAAAGCAGACAACAGCAGGCACTCATGAAGAGTATCTGTAATACATGAAAACAATGGCACAAATATTATTTGCTGTACACACAGGGCTTTGATACGAGTCAATGAGAGCCTGAGAGGATCAGATCTTGCATAACGGTGCCTGGCAGATGACCATTCCAAACTATGCAGAAAAGGTCTAGCCATGAGGCCTCAGCTCTAGAGGAGACAATGGAGTATAGGGCACCACCAGAGGAATTCACCTTTCTTCCCAGTTAGAGTCACAGTAAAGCATCTATTACCCCCAGCTAGCAATACAGCAAGGGTGCAGCTCAAAGACAGGGTTACATCTTCTCTCAATGTTCACTGACAAGAACTGTTGCTCTGACACAGCAATATATTCCACAGTTTATGACACACCCATGATTCGGTGCCTTAATTTAGGCTACAGTCAGGACTTCTGGGATTCTACCTTGGTCTTGAATCAGAGGTTCTCAACCCCAGCTTCCCATTAGAATCACTTGGGTTCTTTAAGAAATACTGTGCCCAGGCTAAACCCCAAAGCAATTAAATCACAATCTTTGGGTATGGGGTCCAGGCATCAGTATTTCTAGAAGGCTCCTCCATGATTCTAATGAGCAACTAGGGCTGAGAATCACTGTCTCAGATAGACCCAGATCTGTGAGGTGGTCACTCTGGCTAGGTCCCTCACTTCTCTGGGCATCTCCTGCTATTGGTTAGACCAACCCCACTTCCTGTTCCACCTATGTGGGTAGATCTCAACCAATCTAGAACCAATTTCCTTCCTCTTTGCAGTAGTTTCCTAGGTAGGCCATGACAAAATACCATAAACTTGCTGGCTTAAAACAAAGTTTTAGGGCGGGCCGAGTAGTGCATTGGTTAAGAGCTGGCTTGGGACACCAGAGGGCCCCAGTTCGGATCCTACATATGAGGGCCAGTGACACTGCCCTCTACAGCTAAGATGCTGAACCTGGAGCTGGGCTGCCATGAGTCGCCGGTGACGGCATAGGCTGCAACCCCTGTGGCAGTGGGTTGCCATGGGCTACCGTGTGTAGCCAGCAGCCAGTGTGAGCGGCCAAGAGCTGCAGTGAGCGGCCGTCCAGAAGCCGGCGACTGATCTGCCTCACCCGGGAAGAGCGCAATGATGGTGCCAACTTGGGCCAGTGAAGCAACATCCTCCACAACTAGACTGAAGAACAAAACGACAGCAACCTGTCTGTTCCCATCCCCCAATTCCTCAATAAAAAACAACAACAAAAACAGAGTTTTATTCTCACAGTTCTGGAGGCCGAAAGTCCAGAAGCAAGGTGTCAGCAGGCCACCCTCTTTCAGAAGGCTCTAGGCAAGGACCTTTTCTTGCCTCTTCGGACCCCTGGTGGTTGCTGGCAATCGGCATTACTTGGCTTGTGGACACATTACTCCAATCTCAGCCTTCAATGTCACTTGGCATTCTCCCTATATGTCTGTGTCATTTCTCCTCTTCTTAAAAGACCACCTTTCATACTCAATTAAGAGTCCCCCTACTCTAGGAGGACCTGAAACATTTACATCTACAACGACCCTATTTCCAAACAAGGTCGCAACACATTCTGAGGCGTAAGGGGGTACGCTCTTCCTCATCCATATGGTAAGTCTTAGACTTCACCTTCACCAGAATGCACGTAAGACCTAGCTAACTGGGAACACAGTGTTTCAGGGGTGTTCTTTAGTTTTTATTTTGAAATCGTTTTAGATTTATATAAGAGTTGCACAGACAGTACAGAGAGTTCCTGAATACCCTTTATTCAGCCTCCTCTAAGGTTAACACCTTATAAAATCATGGTACATTTATGCACACTAAGAAACAAACACCAGTACAACACTATTAACTGTACACTTTACCCCTGTTTTACCAGATAGCCCACCAAAACTCTATTTCTGTTCTAAGGTCCAAGTCAGGAGACCACCTGGAATTTTATGTAATGCTTTTAGGAATGAAAAGGGTCTGAGCTGAGCTCTGACCCACAGGCTTCCTTCCCTAGCTCAGCCTCTAGCCTCTTACCCACCCTCGTACCCGCATCTCATCACCTCTCTGTTTCATCTGTTCATCCTTCCTGTCTGGATCTAATAGCCCCAATTTTCAGTCAAGTTAGTGCTTAACAATTTTGAGATAATGGGACCACTTTGAGAATCCAATAGAAGTGACAGGCTCTCCTCTGAAAAAAATGCACAGGCAAAAATAATTTTGTGTCCAATTTCAGAGCAGATATCAATCAATCCCTCTCTTCCTCCCCAAGGGCTCCCACCTAGGCACAACTTTCCACAGTTTGGCTTCCCGGGACAATGACTCTAATATGAAATCAGCACAGTCCTCTCCTAGGACAATTTCTCCAGGTCCTGGACAGAACAGCAGTGCTCTGTACTCTGGGTTTTAGCTAACACCAGCTGCCACGGCCACTGCCTGGGCTGAGACCAGGCAGAGCTCTTCAGCTGGACAGTAAGGGCTGCTGGACTCTGTCCTTCTGGCCAAATTGGCTATGAGTATCAAACTCTACAAGTGTTGCTTAGCCCATCACCACTTTGGAGTCCACTTTCTCCGTGATGGGAAGAAACAGCTTAGAATTTCACACTTCTCAGTCCAAAAGCCATGTTATCATCTGGGTTTCAACAAAAAGTGACTCCGACCCACATCAGATCTTCTGTCATTTTGAAATGGCAGAAACCTTGGTCCCAAGGACAATGCCTGCCTACCACATTTCATCTTTGGAAACAGCATGTAAGGCCACTCCCCAACCCAAAGCCAAACAACTGTCGACTGTACATGTTCTCTGAAGCCATCACACCAGCCCCTATAGAAGAAACCAAGGAAAAGGGGAACTCCATCCCTCTCACTCTTCAAAACCTTAGTTTGAACCTCTCGTTCCAACCCATTTCTTGAACCCTGTTCTGCCCTACTCACCCTGCCATCCTCAGATTCTGCTTGTTCTGTCAATGCCTCGTCCATTTGAGCCTACTCACCTGAGCTAGACTACCTTCCATAAAGACCCCTGCAGGCTCCCCTCTGCCTTGGGGTCACATTTTCTCCCCTATTGTCGTTCTGGTCAGGGTCACACCAATTTGTCCAGCATCAACCAGAAGGCAACAGGGTTAGCGAACAGACAAAAATAATTCCTACAGACAGGGCTGGGTCTATTCTTACCTTCTGCAAATGGTTCCCATTCATAAAAGCGGCCCATGAATGGCTTGTTGTTGTAGGACGCACACTGTACCTCCCGGATGCTTCTACTGCTTTCTGGACACACCTAAGAAAGCAGATAGTAAATATGCAATTAGCGTCCATATCTTTCAGAGCCCCACTCAGATCCCAGTAGACCTCTCCAACTTTAAATATTAGTCTCTCTCGACCGAAACCAGGATTTCTGAAAATTGGCTGATTACCTACATCAAAAATTTTAAATACAGAATTCCAAGGCTTCACTCCAAGTTTACTAAATCAGAATCTCTGTTAGGACACTAAAGTTTTAACCAGCTCCTCAGGTTAAGTTTCTGCACACCATAATCTGAAACATAACCCACATCATTTGCTCCTGACAAAATGGTCTGCTCACTCCACTCAAAGAAAAAGGCCATCCATTTCCATCTGTTTGACTTTGTTTGCATCATTCCCATGCATGGGATAAGACTCACAGCAAACATGTACAGAGCCCTCACCAGGCAGGCACTGCTTTAAGCATATTACACGTATTAACTCATTGAATCCTCGCAACAAACAATGAGGTAGGTATGGGAGTGTAGCGAATTGTTTAAAGATGAGCAACCTCAGGCACAGAGGAGCCAGACAGCCTGTGAGGACAGAGGATGGATTTCACTCCATGCAGTCCAGTGGCCACCAGGCTGCAACTCAATGTCTTCTCCATCTTGTCTAAATTTGGGTCTAACTTCTCTCCACCACTCATGCAGGACTTCCCAGCCTTCAGCATGCAAAAGAATCGCCCAGAGACCTCCTGGGAAACGCACATTCCTGGACCCCTCCCCCAAGGATTATTATTCAGGACATTTGGGATGAGGTCCAGAAGTCTGTATTTTATCAAATTATCCAGGTGACTCTGATACTCTAGTCAAAGAAAATATCCAGCTTCCTCCAGCTTCTTTCTTATTTATCAATAGCAAATATGAGCAAAGTGTGACATCAAATAAATAAATACGAAACAAAATAATAAGATCAGAATTTCATATTCAAATTGTGGATAAAGTATGATCAAGCATTTTAAAACCTGCTACACTCTGTTTCAGTGTGGGGTGTGTGTGTGTCTGGGTGTGTGTTTTAACAATCAGAAGGGAAAGGAATCTGGCCCCTTAAATATTAAAAGCCCTGTATGTAAGAAGTCTCTGGAATGAACTGCTAATAAGACAGCTCAAAGCCCTGATTTATAAGGAAATCTACTGTATATATCAGAAACAGATTTCCTGGAAGATGCGGGGACAGAGGGACGGATGAAACCAGGGAGGAAAACGTCTCCTGCTCAGTGAAGGGCATTTGGGGGAGGTCACTGGTACCGCACTCGGGGTGGTCATAAGGCTGCTGCTGCCTGAGCTAAACCATATGGAGTGAGAAGCCCTGTGAAGTTGGACATGATGGAAACGGGTAGGGAAAGGGAAGCTCCAACAATCAGTGAGAGCCTGAGTGGCCGGGAAGGGCTCCGGCAGCCCCCGCGCCAGAACCGTGCCAGCTTCCAGCAACACCAGCTGTCTCCATGCAGAAGTTGGACTTAGGGTGCTTTTTACAACCTTTTGGCCAGAACCAGTGTTTTACTAGGATGTGATCAGCTGGGCAGCTTGGGAGAAGGCAACACCCTTGCAATCAGAAAAAATCATGAAGGAGTTTGTGAAAAATGCAGATTCTAGGACCTCCCCCCAGAAGGAGGGTGGAGGAGAGAGCCCAGGAATATATATGCTGGAATTGCTCCCTCAGGTGATTGCGTTGCAGCCAGCCTGGCACCAGGCTCTGCAGCAACAATTACGAGCCACACCCAAGCTTCAATCTCCAAATTCCTTAACACGCAATCACAGAGTGGTACAGCAGTGAGAATCAAACACAGCCCCTTTTGTTTCCAGATAAGGAAACTGAGGCTTGGGGAAGCGGCATACTTTGCCCAAGGTCCCAGTGACAGAGACAGAGCCCAGAGCTCTGTCCCCCACCCTGGCCATAATCAGACACCAGAGACCAGCTGCTGCGTGGCAGGTTTTCCTGAGGGAACCAGATCAGAACCAGCGGGCTAAATGTCCCATTCTCAAATAACCACGTCCATGTAAAACTGAGCTGCTCTGCATGAAGCTACAGCCAAAGGCCACCCTTAACTAACCTGGTGGCAGTAACCAGAGCTGGAAGCTGCAGACCACAAAACCTTAGCCAGTCGGTTTAACCTCTCTCTCTTCAGCAGCAAAATAGTGCTAACAGGCCAGACCGTGCACCATTGAAACTTCAGAATCATTTAGAATTGCTCAGTATTTGATGATACAAATGTCCATTTTATGACATGGAAAAGCAGTCCACATCCATTAAGTGGAAAAAGCAAAAGAGAGGTTAAAAGTATTTTCTCTGGAAGGTGGGTTATAGACATTTTCTCTTCACAATTAACTTTTGTTGTGTTTGTATTGTGTAATTTTTCTGCAATAAATATGTAATATTTATGTAACAGAGATTTATCAGAGTTGAGCTCTTCCAAACACATCTGGCCCTCACCACCTTGGCATGTGCTTCTAGTTTATAATCTTACGGTGTGTTTTAAGTCCCACTAATGCCTGGTATTCTTATTACATCCATATGCATCTACCAAGCCTATCATTTACTTGTGATGGACCATTCAGGACACCCTGTCCCTGGTCATCAACAAGTTCTTTATATCTGAGTTACCTCCTGAGGCAGGAGGACTTAAGGTGACTGTCAGGCCCACAGCAGGGGGTCAGAGGCTAAAGCAGCAAATGCACCTACAGTTGCCAGGAGGCAGCTGAGCCCAGAGGTTGGCTGTGGCAGCCAAACAGCAGTCAGCGTGGGAAGGTGCAGCAGGAGGTAACAAGGTGCTCTGGCAGATGGGCACACCCTTGTGTGTGACCTTGAGCAGGCACCCACATGATGCCAGGCAAGCTGCCAGTCAGAGGCAGGGCACTACTTTCTGCAAAGGAGAGAGACCTGGTCTGAGAAATGCAAGGCTCACAGGGCCCAGATACGGAAGTGGGTTAGTGAGACAGAATTATAGTACAGAGAGGAAGCAGAGCCTGGGGTGGTGGTGGTGGTGGTGATGATATTAAGAATAGGTAATTTTTTAAATTTGCAGACATTACCTTTAGTAATATTTTAACTGATATATCCCCTCAAGCAAGGGAAGTAAGAGAAAAAATAAACATATGGAATTACATCAAACTAAAAAGTTTTTCCACAGCAAAGGAAACCATCAATGAAACAAAAAGGCATCCTACTGAATGGGAGAAGATATTTGTCATGATACATCTGATAAGGAATTAATATCCAAAATTTATAAAAAAAATTCATTCAACTCAACACCAAAAAAGCAAACAACCCAATTAAAAAAATGGGCAGAGAACATGAAGAGACATTTCTCTAAAAAGGACATACAGATGGCCAATAGGCATATGAAAAAATGTTCAACCTCACTAATCATTAGGGAAATGCAAATAAAAACCACAATGAGATACCACTTCACTCTGGTCAGAATGGCTATCATCAATAAATCAACAAACAACAAGTGCTGGTGAGGTTGTGGAGAAAAGGGAACTCTGGTGCACTGTTGGTGGGACGGCAGATTGGTGCAACCATTATGGAAATCAGTATGGAGGTATCTCAAAAAACTGGAAATGGAACTACCTTATGACCCAGCAATTCCACTCTTAGGTATTTATCCAGAAAAACTCAAGACACTAATTCGAAAAAATATATGCACCCCTATGTTCACTGCAGCACTATTTACAATAGCCAAGAACTGGAAAAATCGAAATGCCCATTGGTAGATGACTGGATTAAGAAACTGTGGTACATTTAAACAATGGAGTATTACTCAGCTATAAAGAAGGAAATTGTACCATTTGCAACGATATGGATGGACCTAGAGAGCATTATGTTAAGTGAAATAAGTCAGTCAGAGAAAGACAAATACCATATGATTTCACTTATACGTGGATTCTGAAGAACAGGATAAATGAGCAGGCTGGACAGAGAGAGTCTCAGAGATGTAGCGAAAAAGCTGATGGTTGCTAGATGGGAGGGGGTGGGGATTAGGGAGAAGGGGAAGGGATTAGACAGTACAAATTTGTAATCACAAGATTGCTACGGGGATACGAAAGACAGTTTGGGGAATATAATCGATAATGTTGTAAAGATTTTGTAGGGTGTCAGATGGGCATTTGTCTTATTAGGGAGACCACTTCAGGGACGGTGTAAATGCCTGACCACTGCACGTACACCTGAAGCTGACGCTGAATAATACTGAATGTCAACTATAATATATATAGTCACAAGATGTGGAGTACAGCACAGGGAATATAGTCAATAGAATTATAACAGGATATACGATGTCAGAGGGGTAGTAGATTGGGGGAGTGGGGGCTGTCACTTTGTGAGGGGTGTAAATATCTAACTATTACATTGTTTGGTACACCTGAAACTAATAATAAAGAAAAAAGGAAGGAAGGAAGGAAGGGAGGAAAGGGAGGGAGGGAGGGAAGAAGAGAGGGAGGGAGGGAGGAAGTGTAACTTTTATTGAGCACTTACTAAATGCCAGATACTCCACCATGCAATTTATGTATATTGGCTCATTTAATCCTCATGACAACTATTATACCCATTTTACAGATAAAGAAGTCAAAACTACGAAAAATTGAGCTGCCCCACATCATAGGGCTTAGTGGTAAAGTCAGGATCTGAACTCAGATACTTGGGTTCCAGAGCCCATGCCAGTAACCACTATGCCAGGATGCCCCTGAGGCTGTATGGACAGCAAACTGAATTTGCAATGGGATGTCAGACAAGAGGCCTTAACTCCTACCTCTGTTGTGAAGAGAGATCCTAGAGGCCAAGGTCAGTCTTAGCCTCTGAGGCCTGATGAAGTGGCCCCAGCTGTCCCGAGCAGGGAGCTGTGGACTGAGGACGAAAACCAAGCTGGGCCGGGGAGATTCTGTTTCATGTCTCTTTTGCAGATCACATCTGTTTGTACTTGTTACACTATTATCAGTATATGATCTCCTCTCATTTTACAGATTCTCTGAAGTTAAAACTTCTAGGTTACAA